CCCTTCCTCTGAACCTTCTCATGCAGGAACAGTCAGGATCCTCTTTTTCATTTGTTACATGCTGCTTCAACTGCAGACCCTGCCAGCTGATACCTTAAAACAGTGTTGTTACTACCATACAGTTAAAAAAGATGAAACAAAAAATAAACTGTCTAGTGTAGATCAAAAACTACAGATTTAACAATATGTAAGATAATATAAGCTTAGGGAAATAAGAACACAGAAATTTTTGTATAAACAAAAATCTATGATACCCTGACTCCCATGTTCACTCGTTTATGATGTGTTGAGGAGAGCGATTGAAACCTTCCTGTTTTTAAGAAAAGCAAAAGCAAACTTCAGTTAGAGGTCTGCAGATGAGATCTAGTCTGCCAGGTCTGTGCCTGTCAGTCCTGTACTTTTCTTTTTGTATTTTCTGCTCATTTGGGGGCTCTTTGCTGGTTGTCTTGTTGGCCTTTGATGCTTTGTGAAGTCTTATAAGAACTGGAAGAAACTACTTTTGTCGTTAATCAAAGTTGGTCCAATAATGATTTGTCTTCTGGGCCCTCATTTGGCAATGATACCTGTAGCTTTTTGTGTCTTCCTTCCACTGTGCACTTCCCTTTTGTCGACCTTCCGTAGTCTGTAAGCTAATTCTTACTGATTCTGTGAATCTCTCTATTTATTTATTTTTAATGCTGACCTCTTTCCTCTGGTTTCTGTGAAATGTCTGTTTCTTTGTCAGAGATAGTTGTGACCACCCTGGAAGGCGAGTGTGTAAGTGCAGAGGCTTTAGAATGGCTTGTAGAAATTTAAAAGGGATAAAGGGACAAAGTCAAAATGGAGTTAAACTAATCATTTAGACTAATTATTTTTGAGGTATGAGTACTCTCTACAAATAATTGGTTCTATCTTGCAATCCTATTCAAAAGCTACCATGTGGCTTTTTGGTAGATACAAACTTCTAGTCATTTTTACTGATGAATATGAAGGACATGCTAGAGTGTATAACTCCAGGAAGTATAGGTTAGCTGTGCATTTAAAGAATGCTAGAAAGTAATAATGTGGCTTTGTATTTCACTGTGAAGTGGTTTTTCTATATAAAGAGCTCTGCTATTCAGTGTGGTGTTGCTTTAGTTAAGGAAAGGAGTCAAATTTTGGTGACCTAGATTTTTCTGTGCATGGGGTTTTTTTTCCTGTTTGTTTTCGTTTTTTTGGGGTTTTTCTCTAAGTGAAAGGTAAAATATGAGTACAAGTAACTGAATTATTTGTCTCTCTATTTCAGCACTCAGTTTAGTCAAATTTGGGCTGTGTTATTGAAAATGCTAAATACTCTGTCATGCAACTGTGCCTTTGCCTATAGAGCTCTTGAATATCTGTAATATTTGTTAAGAGTGTGAGCTAACAAAATTATCCAGTAGTTCTATGGACAGTTACATTATCGTAACTCACTTGAGTTCCTTGTACCAAGAGTAATAAAGTACTCTCCATGTTTTAGATGAAGATGATGACTTTGTTAACAAGAGAATTTCTCTGAAACCTAAGGAGAATGGGACATCAGCAGTCGGTTGCCCAGGAACAACTGTAGTGAAAAAGGAAGATGTAAAACTACGAGCTAAAAACAAACCCCTCTCGCCAGTGAAGCTGACCCCCACCTCAGCACTCGATTTCTTTGGGACAAGTAGCATCCAGCGATCGGAGAGGAAACTGGTAGCAAGTAAGAGGAAAGAAGTGAGTGTTGATTATGTTTTTTGGTTGTTTTTCTGTTTCCTAGCAGAGCTAAATAGCCAGTTTAATGACTATAAGAAGCTACTCGATGCTAGTTTTTAATAGTCACTCAAGTGTAAGTTCCATTTTGATGGCATGTACAGGCATATCAGTTCCTCAAATACAGTTATAAAGTAGAACTTTCCTCTGTGAAAAGATGAGCACAAAATTGATCATAGTATTCACTTCCCAGGTAACTTTAAAAAAAATGCTAAGGGTTTTTCTAAGAAAAACAAATGGGTGGGATAACTTACTATGGGTCTGTGGGAGGTGTTCTCCAAAATGTTATGGCACATATATTTATTGAGTGCCAAAGCCCCAAGTAAAACATAGAGGAAATTCAGAAACAAGTTGTGTAATTTTTGCCTTCTCTTCAGGTTAGCCTGATGTGGTGACTTCAAAGATGTTCAGCATTGTTGGAAAAAGTTATTTAAATGCTGCTTTGTTTTGAATAGTATTGTCTCTTTAACTCCTATTAACCAGGGCTTTACTGAGGTTAGAAAGTTAGGAATACAAAGTTGCATGTCTCATTCTCAGCCCTTTGGGAGGGTTAGCCCATCTAATATGTATGCAATATGAATCTTTATAAATTAAGTTGTTATAACTGATAAAATGTTGGGAAATTAAACTATTGAATTTTTCACATATAGCCCTCAAAAAGCAGAGACTGCACATTGGACGATGAGGCCATTGCCAGGCAACTGCAGCTTGATGAGGATTCAGAGGTAAAAGTTTGTGTATGTTCTATGTGAAGAGCAGTTTTATTCTGCTATTGTTCCTCCTTAAAAAGTGAAGATGGACTTGTGTGTCATCTTGAAATCGGCCATTTGCTTCTTGTAGTGTTTGTGTAGGGTTGTTTTTTTTTTTTTTTTTTTTTTTTTTTTTTTT